CCGGAAGTGGTTGCCATGGCATACATAGATGACGCATATTTGTGGGCAAGATTGGAGCATGCGAGCAAACTTGCACATGCAGTCGAGATCACTCGCTTTTGGGATCTCTTGTCAGGCCAGCTCCTTAATGACAGTAAGTGTGTTGTTTGGGGCACCTCCACCAAAGCTCGCAAGGTTTGCAAACAGATGTGGCCTAACATGTCTCTTCAGCTTGAGGTTGAGGTTTTGGGCGCTTTTGTCACCACCTCCAAACGCCTTGCCTTTCATTTTGAGGACTTGAAGACACAGGCCATTTAAACACATTCGAGCTCTTCCAATTCCGGTCAACGTGAAAACCTTTTTTCTTGGAGTGAAGGTGATTCCGCGTTTCTGTTACGCTGCCTCCCTGAACCAGATCCCTAAAGAGGTTTCAAAGAAGTTCCAATCAGAAATTGTGCAAACTCTCTGGGGACGTCGCCCCCACTGGAGATCCCGCGCCCTGGTCATGACCTTCCTCGCAGAACCACATAGAAATGACCCAGTGTGCGCACTAGCATATCATGCAGTGATGGATTTCTTGAGATTTTTAAGGATGCCCGGAAATGGGCGTGACAAATGCATGTGGGCGGCGGCACATTGTACGGTAGAGCATGCTCTTTTGTCCAAGATTAAGGAAGCTTTTCGCTTCTTTGGCCTGTCTTTGTCACCAGATCTTGTTCTTTCCTTTGGGGGTAAACCTCTCATGCCTGCCTGGGACCTACATCCAAAAGATATTAAGATGTTGTTGCATAGGCTTTCTCGGCACCGTTGTTACGTTGAGGCTGCAAATCAGCATCGCAAGGACTTTCGCATGCCTTCAGGCATCCTTGATTCTGATCTCACGTGTGGACTGCGAGATAAGTCCACCATCAAGCATGAATCAAAAGCCGTAGTTGAAAGCCACTTTGTTGCCCAATTGGTTGGGTGCACGCTGACACGAGACCGATTGTGTGCAGCCAGTTTGGACACATCGGACAAGTGCCGCTTTTGTGGGTGCGTGAAAGAATCTTTAGCTCACCTGGTTTTTGATTGTGAAGCTTACCATGCTTTGCATCCTCCTGAACCTGTTCATGAGTTTGGCTCCAATTTTGGGCTTCTGGGTATTGTTGAGCACCCTGTAGGTGTTGTGAAACATCGACTACAGTGGAACGATCCCAATGACCTCCTTGTTGCTACTTTCCAACCCTCGGCTCCTCGAGTCAGCTGGTGGTCAGATGGCTCAGTGTTTTGGCCAGATGTTTTCTGGCTTTCGGCTGGAGGCTTTTCCATAGTCAATGACCGCAACCAGGAAATCTTTGGTGGCCCGGTTCATCATCTTCATATTACATCATATACGACGGAACTTTGGGCTGTTGTTGTAGCAATTCATAAGTGTGCTGCTCCAACCGAAGTGTTCACTGATTGCCAGACAATTGTTGACCAGTTCCAAGTCTTGCAAACAGACGGTGCACCACATACTACATGGTCCCACTTCTCGTGGTGGCATGCTATCAGCATCAGGCTCCAAACCTTGTTGGATTTCCATCCGGATCCATTTGTGGTGTCTTGGATTCCTTCTCATTTGTATGAACACCTCCCTGAGTGTTTCATTACACAAGCCATGGCGGACGCCAAAAAGACGGAAGTTCGACATATCATTGGAAATCGTTTTGCTGACAAGTTTGCCAAGGAGCATGCTGTGCAGGCCACGAGCGTGCACCCCTCCGATGAACAAATGTTAAAGCAGAGCATCATCAGAAGACAGGATTGGCTCACAATGCTGAACCTTGAGATTGCAGCGCTTCAGAAATCTGATCAAGAAAGCAAGCAGGAAGCCCGCTTAGCTGAAGAGGAAGCTTCTGAAGATGTTTTTGCACTCTTCCCTCATTGGGAGTGGGAGCCGCAGGTTCAGCAATTCCCATGGACACCCACGTTTGTTTTCCTTCCTGATATGTTTCCACCGCAATGGGCTTCGAAATCTAATGACTGGAAAATTCTGGGTTCCTTTTTTGCGTGTCAACAATGGCGGCTCGCTGAGGATGCAGTCACCTCTTATGTAGAATTGGCTGTTTTGTTCCACTTACAGGGCTTCCGCCTTCCGTCGCAGGATATATCGCTTCATACTTTTCGGGATCTTACGGCTGAAATCCGTCAGTTTGTGGCGTCCATCCGCGTCGACTCAGGTACATCATTTGTGCCAGGTTGCCATAACAGACACCGAAACAAAAGTATCGGCAAATCACTTCCCAACGGGACGATCGATGGTGCAGAGATTTTCATCTCGCGAAAGAACAAGATTCGGTTCGCACGAATACTTGCTGGAGTTTCCACCGCCCGCCTTCAAGCATGGGCTTTCTCCTTGGATAGCGCTGAGTTTTAATTCGGGGTTCACATGTGAAATCATATGTGTGAAGGATACTTGGCAGAATGCCTGGTATGCCAGACGAGACTCTTCTCGCCGCGACAGGAAGAACAGAATAGACTACCTGACAGGTCAACCTACCTGCCATTTGGGGGTGCTTTCATCCACTGGGTTGCCGCACATGTCTTGGAAGGGTCGCTGGATCAGCGAAAACCTGAACTCCCGCTGGGCTGCTGCGGGTGAAACGGCCGTGCTCTGGAAAACCCGTCCATACGGTAGGGGTAGGGCCTAGGGTCGTCAAAACAACATATTTGGAGGGTAGACCCCTCCGGTTTTCTTGTTGTTGTTTTCTAAAGGAAACAAACACCAGGCTGGAAAACACAGAAAAAGAACACCGTTGGGTGATGTGCCATCTACTCTGAAGCTACTGTACGTCCTTTGAGGAGCAAACACCCCGCTGAACTGGGATCCTGCATCAAGAGATTTCGTTAACAAGAGCGGACCCGTATATACCATATACCAGCTGCAACCTGCTGAGAAGATATGAGAAGATGGTTGGGGTGGGTTTGGGGGTCTAACTAACGGGTCTAACCACCTTCTGAGGATATGGTTGGAGCCCTAGGGAAAAGACAATCCCAATTAATGTACAATTCATGTACGATTTACATTCTGGATGATGTGCAAACTCCAGGCACATGAGCTTGTCTGCAGCACAGCTTCTGCGGCTCTGGTACGATGTATTGTGTTCGGTTCTATATTTACAATGCAGCTGCTTGCTCCCCATCTCCGACATGAGAATCCGGCATCTCCGTAACAGCAACATCTCGGTATCTCATATGATCCCTCTTCACATCACTTCACCATAAACTATCATAATCTAAACTTAAAAAACATCGTTTCCAACTTCTTCAAAGTGACCTTTTGAAGGTTCCTTTCCGTGACCCGTATAGGAGGCTTGTTCGTGACCGAACCAACCAAGTTATCAAGTTCGGTCACTTTGAAGAACCAGATAGTCTGTATAGTTTCATGATGTTTCATGTATCGTTGTCCAACTTCTAAGCCCTCCAACATCGTCCAACCTCCACCTTCCCTCCAATTGGGATGTGGATAAAAGCCCCAGGAGCTTCTTCACGCTGTCACGCATGGCCAGGTCCGATGGATCGGAGACCTCCAGCGCCTGGTCGAGGTGTGATGGGCCTTCTTGGCTGCTGCTTTGTCCTTGTGCCATGCAACATCAACAAGATGGTTGTGTACATGCGTGGACATTGCGGCTTGGTTTCCATACCACCAAACAAGCTATTCATAGACATTACCACTCATACTCTTCCGCATAGTGTACGAATGCGCTACCCAGTTTCAATCTCTTCAAGATTTGGCACTGTGGGTGAACCATCATGCCATCATCTAGTCTCTACGCAAACAATGGGGGAACAAAACCCGAGAAAACTGAGATTACATTTTTCATGTTTTGGTCTTAATCTTTATCGGATTCTTTGGGCCTTTTTCAGAGATGCTTTCAGCAGCAACATAGCCCTCTCATCCCTCAGTAGATGTTCTACGGATCCCCTATGACCTCCTATGACCCCCCAAAGACGACCAACCTTTTCCGCCGGGGGGAGTGGCTTGGAGAAAAACCACGCCAGGGTAGCATTCAGGGTAAGAAAGCATTCACGGGGCCATGATGGGCCATGGGTAGCTAGAACTATGCAGCCTCCCCCAATTCACCAGTCCAACGCGGAGGATCCGAAACAACGACCAAGACAGGACATCGCCTCCCGTGCCTTGATATATGAAAAACCGCAGCCCAGAGGAGGTGGATGTTCTTGGGTTGCAGACCTTTCCCTGAAAATTTGTGATAGTCTTACCTCAAATCGGCGCAATACATGGCGCAATACAGGGACATATAGCCTACCGTGATCGCGATTGTCTCCACGTGCCTCCAGCTGAAAGATTTTGTTCAGCCGCTGTTCCCAGACTTCCAAGTCTTCCATCGTGGTGTTTTCCGCTTCAGGGCCATCCTTTGCCGCTTCAGGACAGGACAAAGATTTGGGTCGAAGAAATAAACAAGTGTTTGTCTTTCCCTAGGGATCCACATGCCTTCTCAGAACAATCACCTTCTCAGAAGGTATGTGGATCCATAGGGTTTGCAAGGTATTAAAGCAAAGCATGGAACTCAGAAGCAAGAACAACTATAGGTACTGTCTGCGGCGGGTCATACAAAAAAACACTCCGGTCACCATGGAATGAGTATGAATGAGTTGACCCTTCGAAATAAAGAGCATGGACGGCCAAGGACTAAGCTCTATTCATTGTGGTAGTTGTTTTTAATCATGTCTTTTTCAAAGGCGGTTACAGCAGCTTTCTTGTTTTGGTACTGTTCATTAATCATAGACTGACAACAAGCCTGTCTGAGGCAAAGTAAATGAGTACATCCACTCTGTCTTCAATTTAAGGAAGCTGGACCAAAAAGAAACAACCTTTGTTTGACAATACAAGGGTGGTCCAGTCGAGAAAATGTTTTACCTCACACTCAAGTCTGTACTTGCCGCGAAGTAAAAGAAGTTCCCTCTGAATCGGATGGAACTTCCTTTCCGATATATCCAAATCCCAGTCCTGTCTTCAATTTGACAAAATATCAATCTCATTCCCGGAACTGTCCACTCATAGTCACTAGTCCACTCATCCTTTGCCATATCCGATCCATTTTTATCCAGGTCTCCACCAGCTCATCAGTACTTCGGCACCAGTCATAGATGGCCTCAGCGTCCCCAGAAGATTTTGTAGATCTACTGGTTGGAGTAGCCACCCTGGACCAGAAATGGGTCCACTCTTGGGTAAAGATTGAGCCAGTCTGGAATGAATGGTAAAGACAGGCTCCTAGTAGCGTCCTTGTTCCTAGTAGCGATGCCCTTTGCTCCTACTAGTAGCGTCCTCAAGTACGGCAAGTGGATGATGATCAGGAAGCCCCCTCTAAGCCGTCTAAGCTTCGCAGCTCCCCTCTAGACTCTAGCTTAGCTCCATACGGAGACCGCAGCTCCTCAACCCTGCTTAAACACGAACGCACGAAGCCATGAAACGCCGTGCTCCGTTTTGTATCCTTTTGATTCCTTTGGGCCGCATTCACACGGCAACCTACTTCGGTGCTCCTGCACAACAAAGCTTACACTCTGAGTCACCCTTTCAGTGGATGGCATTGGTCCCGATTTCAGAAGACTCAAACTACTTTGCAACTCTTTGTGGGCGTAATACAATTACCATGCCATGTGATGTCTAACCCTCGGAGTGTCACCATTAAAGTGTGGTGTCTTCCCTCGAATCTCTTCAAACCGCAGCGTGCACCCCGCGACCCGCGAAACGGGGGCGTCTGGGCGTCGCAGGCCCAAACTACGCGCTGCTCGTCTTTGTCCAAGAGCTGCGAGCCTAAGTAGAACCTTGGTCCGGGCGGTGGAACGCCAACCCGGTTTCTCGCGGTTTCATACACGCCACATCCAACATGTCATACTCTGTGTTCAAACACTGACTGTTCATGTTCAAGAATCAAAAAACACATGTGTGTGTGTGTGCCCCAGGGATCCATTTGGATTCTTCTTTTTCTTTTTAGCCGTTTTGAGCAGGGGGCAGTAGCCCACTCATGAGTCTGCCAACGAAGCTGCGAGTTGGGAGGAGATCGGAGCTGCTCATGACCTGTTAAAGGCGCCCGGAGAGTTGTACGACGAACGAGCGAACGACATGGTCGGTCCCAGGCCCTGATGTTCAAGATCCCAAGCTGCTGTCCCAGACGTTCAGAGGTCACCAAAACGGTTGGTTTTTTTCGGTCAAACGGTCGCCCCATCAAGTATAATGTATTCTGATGTATAATACATAAACACCTACAGAAGACAACAAGCAATCATTACTTCCTACAGAAGTGTCCTTCCCAGGCAGACCTGCTTCGAAAGAAAGACGTGCCATGCTGTTCAGGGCAGCACACGGAGGCGCAGACTCCCCCGTTGAACATGTCGTGGTGAAGACCCCGCGCTGTTTGTGGCCCAGCGGCGTCTTGGAATACTCCTTGGTAATTTCCTGACCTCGCGAACCAACCGAAATTCACCGCGCGAGACCGGCGAAGCAACACCACCCACGTCGCCCTCGTCCGCCCTCGTCCGCGACGGTCGCGACGAGCAGTTGCGGAAAGAAATTGGGTTCCGAGAGACGAGCAGTTCTCCACAGGGTGCCAAAGTTACCTGGTCCTTCAACCTACCCTCTGTTGGTGGGACTCTGTTGGTGGATCGATTCCCACGTGACCGTCTAGTTCGGGTGTGATGGGGGCAGATCTCGGCTCAAGGGGACAGGCCCGGTGTCGGCTGAGTCTGATTCCAGATCGGGTGAGTCATTAGACTCTTGATTGATCAACCTCTCCCCATATTTTGCAGAGGATGTCCAATTCGTGGGTAATTATGGGTGGGTTTATTCATCAAGACTCATTAAGAATGAGACACACTATGCATCGATTCGAGAAACCGGTATACGGCGATCGCGTATGAGAGCGTGAAATCGAATGTATTCCTTGGTTCTATTCCATTACCAGTAACAGTGGATGATGGTTAAATATAATAATATAGTGACAATCGTTTACCGACTGTTACGGGTATTGGGACAAAGCCCCAAAGTCTTCTTCTGGTCACCCGCCCCAGCCAGGTTAAACATGTCCACATCCCCGTCCCATCGCAGGTGGTCTCCAGGGTCTCCAGGCATTGCTTGTAGGCCTTCTCCAGTGCATCCTCGAGCTCAGGCCTCCCGGTTGAGATGTCCGAGAACGGAACCCGTAAAGAGAGTGATTTGGGCACCAGAACAGGCCAGCTTCCCTTCAAAAACTGGAAGACGATAAAGCATGGTGAAGGAAATGAACACATGCTCTGGGTCCAATAATCTTATGAATTGAACTCATACATCCTCAAGCCCAAGCATGTTTGGGTAGCGAAATAAGACCCAGTAGGAGGAAAGGTCATGCATACAGAGTTCTCATGCCCGATTTCATGCAGCGGTCATCTACCTCGGACGCAAACATCTGCAAACCACTAAACCCTAAAATCCCTAAACCCTAAAATCCCGCTAAATTCCCCAACACCCGAGTTCACCATGGTGAATTCCAACAGAACAACAAGGCTCACCGCGGCGCACCGCGGGCACCCCACGCCCTGGGCCCGTTCCCCCCTGGGTGACGAGCTCGGGCCCCGACGCATCGGCCAGCTTACGGACGTCCTCGGGAACCCGCGGAAACAGGACTGGCCCGGACTCGGGGCAGCCCGGCTGGCCAGCATAAGGGAGCATGTCTTGGGTCTTGTAAGCCTGCATACTCTTGAGCTGAAGCAATTTGAGCAAAAAAAGGAACCCACAGAAATGGTTGTCAATGGCCAGTACAGTAATTGTAAACAAGGAACCCACAGAAACTGTTGTCAATGGTCAGCTATTTGATGTGGACACTGTCATAGTCGGCTTTGCAACATTTATCTTCGACACCATGGCATGCGGCATTATGTGAATAACATCTAATGCTGCGTAGGCATGGCCTAGATGCTACAGCCCGGTCATTGCTGCTTCCTCCGGGCTCTAGAATGCTCTAGCGGTGAGCAGGAAAAGAGTGTCATGCAGCCAGCATCATGCTAGGGGGTCATTAATTAGTATACTAACTATATATATATATTTTATAGATTATAACAGTCCCTTGGGCGGTGCTGGAGTATGCCGCTTCTACTACTCAAATTCCAGTGCCGCTTCATGTCCAGTTCCTTCGTGCCGTTTCTGGAGGGAATACATCTCCCCACCCCTGGATGGGCAACGCGGGCAACGAACAACGAAAACATCGAAATCGATCGAAATCGAAACAGTCTTGCTCTTAGTTGCCTGACAGTCTGGTAATCCCTATAGGGATCCAGTCGAAGTGAACCTCAGGTTCGGTACGACTGGACCCTCTAGACCCGCTACATAGGGTTTCTCTTCGTCCTCACCTGCTGAGGTTCGGTACGACTGGATCCCTAGGGAGTGATCCCTGGAGTCCGTTTCTTTTTGAAGTGCCCCCCCTACTCACTCCGCACGGGACACCCCGTACTCCGCTCTGTGAACCCGCCGCGTGTACCCGCCGCACCTCCTTTTGGGCGGTGAAGAGCATCCGCAGCTCCCGCGCAGTAGGCACCACCAGGGCTTCCGGTTGGATCTCAGAGCTGGCAGGGTGCAGGGTGCGCCTTTTTTCTCCTGCCTGTTGATGGGAGAATGGAAGGAAACCCGTTGAAGGTAAGTATACACCTCTTGAACCTGTTATTGTCTGGTTTGTCATTCTTCACTTCTTCACCTGTCCCAAGAATTTGGGGTTGACTTTCGATATGGAGGAGCCGAGAAAACATTAACATATGGGGTGGCCCAACATGCAGCTGGTTAGTAGAGGCCTTTCCCTCAAAAATATTAAAATAGTGATAATTGTTTACCGACTCCTACAGGTAATAGGACACCCTCAATCCATACCTGCCTATGCAAGAGGAGGGTACCGTGCCCACCTGCCGGCATTGAGGCACCCGACGCGTTGCGCCACGCTACCCAAGAGCTTCTTCTCCTAAGCTGTCCACCAGTCTGGAGCTTTTGATGGGGTGTTCAGGCAAAAAAAAAAAAACATCAAGTGGGTAGCTGGTGATCTGAAAGACGTTGTGTGAATTGGTGAACTAGTACAATGGATTCAGAGGACCAATGGCACAATCCCCAAGTTTGGTGGTTTATATGGACCCCTATCTAAAGGACATCTTGGGGTGCCAGTGCCATCTACTCTGAAACAACTGTAAGCAAACATCTTGTTCTTCCGAAGCCTAGGCCCGCACTCTTGGACCCAACCGAAGCGAAGACAAATGGGTCCGGCAGGTTGGCTGTGCGTCGAAAAGCGATGTCGGGCAGACCTTGGTATATTGTTTGTAGCAATACAATGGACAATGCCACTAGTACCTGTACATACATACGATGATATATGATACAAATATATGTATACTTAATATGTATATTGCTGTACGAGAGCAACTGTCACAGGCGGAGGCCAATCAAAAAGATATGCTCATTTAGAGAAGGAAACACTTGCATAAAGTGTGTGTGTGTGTAGGAGTTGATGTTCGATAAACAATGATAAAAACGGATGTCTTTGCAAACGTATGACTTATGCATCTTCCGCACAATCAAGCCCTGAAAGGCATATGAAATGTTTTGGCTGCCCGCACTCTTTACACAACCCCCTTGTCACATTTGTCACGATTTTGGCAAAAGGCCTTATACCTTAGATCAAATTGACAATCATTATCAACTTTCACAGGGCGGATGCAATGTCCCAAGAAGCGTGGCAAGAAGCTGCAAAAGCAAGCAGCGAGACACGATTGAAAGGTGAAGGATTGCAAGGAGAAGAGCCTTTTGAAGGAGTATACCTTTCGGGGAAAGAGACTTTGACTTGGGAAAGGACAAAACACATGTGAACGGCAAAGTTGTCAAACGTGAACCAATCACGCCCTTACAAAAGCCAGACATTCAGAAAATTGGGTTCCTGCACAACAATTTACAATGAAACCGAATTTACAACTTGGGCGTCCTGTTAGAAAGACATTATAAACATTGTGCCCTTTTCAAAAAAAAGAACGTTTAAGGATGGACAGCCGGCATTTGATTGAACAGGTGATAGCTTAAACATATTTTGCAGGAGGAACACCTTTACAATCCTTTACAAGGATGAATTGAACAAAAAAACTATCAGCTCTTCTTCTGCTGTGCCCCCAAACTATCAGCAGCCTGGCCTGGGCAGGTCTTACGGTGGGCCAAAAAAGTACCCTTTCCGGCCATGGTCCACATCCATGATTGTGGCAGGGAGGGGACGTTGCTTTTGCTTTTAGCTTCCTTTTGATTCTTTATGCATTGGAGGCCATCGCTATTAGGTGGAGGCCATCACAAGTAGGTTGGAGGCCATTGCTTTTGCTTTTAGCTCCCTTTTGATTCTTTGTGCGTTTGCTTATTTGACATTGTTGTGACATTTTCTGTGGAGGCCGAGCCCCACGAGTCGCGACTTAATTCATGGCCGAACCCCCCAAAGAAGACCAACACGATCGGAGGACGGGTGGATCCGCGAGTACTCCGCGAGTACTATCGAGTACTCAGGTGCAAACAGAACCCAAGCTAAACATCATGAACTTACAGAAGTGTGGCCATTCTGAAGCACTTCTTGCGCCTGCCGCCCACACTTTGAGAAGTTCTTTGCCTAAAGTCAGACATTCCCAGAGTTTCAAACGGTCCCTGAGACATTCTGAGACCCATAGAATACTCAACTAAAGTACTAGCGGGGTCTTGATCACGTGGCAGGGACCGGGATCCCTACCCTCACACCCGCAGAGTGCCCTGGCCATCCGCGCATAGCCTTCGGTGCTCACGGGCTTTCGGCCTGGAGCCGACCGCCCTGCCGCCCCGGCCGGTGGCTGTAACATGACTACAGGGGAATTCGGAGCATGAGCCAGCACCACGGATTCCGGGTGTCCATTAGCCCCTTGATGGTTAAGGGGTGTCCATTAACCACCCCTTGGGGGTCCTGGAGATTGTTGTATTTGTTTTCCACCAGATCAGATCGAAGAACATATCAACAAATTGTCCAGAACCTGAGGGAAATATGAGCGACAACATGTGTGGGTCATCGAGCTTCCAGTTTCTTTGGCGCACCACCATCCCAAGGGGAGCCCCTTCGCCACACGTTGAGAAACCCCCGTTTTCGCCTTCACTCTCCATCGCCCTCCATCTCCCCCACCCGAAGAGGGGTTAAGTGACCGTAAATAGGACCCTACTGGGGTACCTATGGGATAGTCTATAGATGTCTAGTTCGGGTCCTTCAACCTCTGGCCACCCCCCTGTTGTTCGTCCCCGGACCCGCGCGCCTTGGCCGTTCTTCCGCGCGCGTTGGTCGGTGCGCGGAGTCACATTGGCGAAGAGGCCACCTGACCGAAGACGTTCGGACCCAAGCTACTGGATTCGGACCCAGACCTGCTCGAATCTTGCAAAACTATGCGACGGAGGAACCGTGAACCAGTAGAAGATTCAAGGGAGTTAGGTTTGCTAGTGGGCAATCTCCATATATATATATATAACAGTTCATCCTCAATCATATTCAATCATTAGTCATGCATCATGAACTGTGGCTCATCTTGTAACTTGTATCACTTCGTGGGAACCCCATGAAGAGCAATGTGCGACTGCCTCAGTGACCTGTGCCTGTGCGGTACTTCACACCCAAATGCCAGAGATGTTGCATGTGTTGTGCATGTACCCCGTGCTCCATGCAAGTTGTTGAGCTGTACCCCTGCTTCGACCCACCTCTCGCAGCAAGTGGCACGTAGTAAATACGGCTCTCCATGGAGTGCTTGGCTGCTTGGCTTCGACCCACCCAGGAAAACATGATCCTGCAAACGAGTCAGCCGCATGTTTGATGAATTTCATCGTTTGGTGTGCAACCCCAGCTGAAACCAACCTAGAATCTGTGCCATCTATATAGATGTTGCAAATAGGTTCCCTGCCCAAATAGAAGCAACAAAAGGATATATTTACCAGCAGTCCCAAAGGAGTGCTTCACGGAGGTTACAGTAGGGGTGCCCAGTACGTCACACTCAGTACTGGATGGGATGAGCCACACCACCGTGCCTTAGCGACTCATTGGTATTAGTCCTAGGTCCAGGTCTAACGCCAGACCGTGACAGCGACAGGACGGTCGAAAGAAAGAAGGGGCCCCATCTCTTGGTCAGTCGAATCCACGTTTCGAGGTGATACGCGTAGGGAGAGCAGGACTACAGGGGAAATCCAGCCACTCTGACAAGTTGCTAGCAGTGGTCATTCATCATTCCATGTTCTTCCAGTCTAAGACATCCTGGCCCTCCACCTCCAGCTCCACCCCGGTCACCTGCCGTGTGGATCGTCGCTCCGGTGGTGATCTCGACCTCGCCCCGTTGCTCGGGCACCTGCAGAAGCGACGCGCAGGTCGAGGCGCAGGTCTGACCAGACCACATGGACGCGGGTCGAGGCTTGGCACCCTCAGTCAGACTGCTTGCCGAAGACCAAAACAATTTGCAGTGGTTTTTTCGGGGTCTATGCTGAGGCTGGGTTTTCAGGGACTTACAAGGACTTACATTCTGTGACCATGGTGGCTTCATCGACCGTCAGCGTGGGCGGAAGGCTCTGCCCAGTTGACATTTGCTGGAAGAATCCGCGCGCAAACCGGTGCAGAACTATCATGAACTATCTAATCCTCCGTTTCCGCTGCTAAAGTACTAGTGACATCTAGAATCTTCTTGCATCCCCTGGGCAGGGGTTCTGTAGGACTCTGATCTAATTCCACTGCTCCGCTTCGATTTGGTACCGAGCTCTTCTGTCCGCTCTTGTGGAGCTTCCCCCGTCCAGAGGGCCCAAAAAGGCAAGGCTAGCCAACATCGATGGTCTCGGACGAACGAGACCATCGAAACGAGGATCTTCACCAACGTTGCACCCTTGTTCAAAGCGCACATTTGGACAGTACAAACCTTTTAGCGACTTGACATGACTTGACACTGCGGGGCTTTTCTTCTACAAGCAAAACCATCTAAAATATAACGTTAATATATAATATATATATATATACAGTAATATATAAAGTAAATAGAAGACGCCTCTGAACATGTGCTCGACCCCAAAAGGCTCCCACCATTCATGGCCCAACATGACCTGCCTTGAACTCGAAACGTTGCAGCAACGCCACCAGCACCGCCTCCGGCGCACAGCGAAATGCATGGTCGTGCAGGACGAAAGGCGGATGTTCTGCTGTGTGACTTAGTCCGAGGGCAAACAAGAAAACAAACCAAACACAGTAACACAGCGGAAATCTCACAACCCACTTGACTTAATCATGGAAAAAACACATGAAACATCATGAAACAAGGATCAAGCTGTTTTGCATTGTTGCATTCTTCGGGGGGAATGCCAACATGTGCAGTAACCATCTACTATATAACTACCCAGAACGGATCCATGTTGCTTCTTGCACCCCAGGAAGCCACTCCCCAGGACGCAGCCCTCCGCCTCAGCCTCCAGGATGGCAAACTGGTCGCCCACGCACTTGCGCCTTGGCTCTTGACCCGTGGCATCCAGGAGCTTCCAGGGGCCAAAGCTGGAAGGTCCTGTCTGTGATATCTGCATTTCAGTCGGAGACCAAGTCCTACCGCTCCCAGCCTGATGACTGGTGAAGAGACAGAAAGACTCTACTTCCATTACCCCGACCCCCCGTCGTCCTTCAGTCCTTCAGTGACTCCAAAGAGACTCTACTTCCTTCAGTCCTTCAGTGAACCCAGTCTGTTGACCCTTTCATTCACCTCTTCAGTCTGACAGCAGGAAGTCATTAACCGCCTTGCCAAGCGGTGGCTCTTGAAGAAGGCAATCCCTCAAAGACGTTCACTCACCAAAAAGTGACACATGCTACTCTTAAAACATGAAGAACTCCCCCATCCCATCCTTCCCATCCAACCCCTTCCAACCCCATCCATCCATTCATCCATGTCAGGACAGTTCAAGCACAGTTGGTCCCTCCAAGGCACGACCCAGCTCCAAAGGGCAAGAAGGCATAGTCGGTCGCCTCCGCTTCGTCATTGGTCGCGGTCGGTGCATTGGTCGTTGGTTTGGACGAGGTCCAAACCGGTAGAGCTTTTCTGGATGGGAACACTACTGGTACTGACTCGAGTTGAACTGATGAATGCGTCTCGCTACTTGCAAATGAATGCAAATGAAGCTTGCGCAAGGAGAAGTGAACATTGCTGGCACATCTTGGGATCCAATCTGCAAAACAAAATGCTTGGAGTACAAAACCTGCTGGGCAACTCAAACATTGAACTCTTCCAGGATGTTCCACCTCTCTGTGAAGCTTCTCAAAGTTGAGGCTGAGATCAACTAACAGGGCAAGACAAACGCGGCTCATCTCAGCTGCTCATCTCCGACAGCAAACCGTGGCCCCCCACGCGTTCGCTCACGTAGCTGGCCACCTTGGGGGAGAGATGCATCGTGTGATCAAATCCATTCAAATCCACAGGGATTGGTTCAGGTCCGGACCCCATCCATATGAGGGTATGGCCATTTATGAGGGTCTGGACCCTCGCGGAGGGATGTAATGATCTGGTGGCATGTGTATCCCACATTGAGCAATGCTATGCCTGATCGATGGGTGAGCAAGGAAGTGATAGGTGACAAGTGGTGACAGGCATTCTATGTCCATCCGATGGGTCCTAATGAGATCGTTCAGATGTGAATGGGATATCCAACAACAAACTGTGGAGAAACATATTCAGGTGCTACCAGATCATCCAAATGATTCGAGAACTGATGGAGAAGAGTGGGCATCCTGCCCCTGCAAAAAGCAACTGCCAAAATTGGTTCCTCTTCCAGCAGGTCTTTCACTCCAAAAAAGACATGGTGAAGGATCACCGATATCCCTCATCCCATAACTCTTTATATGAGTGGGGAAGTCAATCCCCCCCAAAAAACGGTTGAAGGTGAGATCCTCCATCGGTTCCATGTGGCTCCTGGGCATGCTCAGTATGTTCTGATGATTCGAAGCAAAATCCATCAGATCCATCCTACCGTGGTGGCTTGTAGAACCAATTGTATACCGTTTTTTGCCAAACAAGGCACTCTTTTGGGGATATGTTCTGAGCCATCTGCACTTTGCAGTTCTGAGGCGCGGCATAAATGCAAACCAATGTCTTTCCTGACAGTCCTTGTCCGCCTCTGAGCCATCCTGGCTTTGACCGACCATCTGTTTGCCCCACACCTTCCAAGGAAGTCGCCCTGCGAGCAAAACCGCCTCCGATGGAAGTCCCACGTGGTCCAAACCGATTCCAAGTCCAGCCTTCTCTGGTTCGAAGCCCAGCCAGCCACCCTTGCCAGGGATGCTCTCCTGAAACTGAAGATTCTGCAGAAGTGCAAGTGCCTATCTGGCAAATCGCTGATTCAGGCGATTCCCGTAAATGACAATACTTTAGGCCAAGGGGGGGCGAAAGCTAGCGCTCCAGAATGGGAAAGTGGAGGGCAGCGAGGTAGGAAAAAACACGGCGCTCTTTTTGGAGGCAGGGGTGAAGAGTCCTTTATATGTGGCTCTTTGCCCGGATCCTCCTGCGAGAGAAGAGAGAGAAGAGAGACGGAAAGACGAGAGACAGAGAGGAGAGAGAGAGAGAGAGGAGAGAGAGATGAGAGAGATGAGAAAGAGATGAGAAAGAGATGAGAGAGATGAGAGAGATGAGAGAGACAGTGAGACAGTGGGGGGGGGGGTCTTCGACCTGAAAAATCAGGGGTTAGGATTTGCACCCGGTCGAAAGAAACCTTGCTATCGCAAGAGTAACTCCAGCTAGCTTCGCTAGCTTTCGTGATAAGGCAAGCAGGGGCAAATCCTGTGTGCTGTCTCCCAACATGACTGGTGGAAGAAAAGAACAACCAAACAGCTTGTTTTTGTATGTCTTTGTGTGCATTGCTGATAGGAAGTGTCAAGCGGAGGGATGAACTTAATGGGTTCATATACACTGATGCCATGAGGCTGTGAAGGCAAAACACGGAAAGTAACGTTTGATAACGTTTGCCGTTTGTGTGTTTCTTCCGTCACAGAACCAAATGATCATGGAAGCCGCAACGATCGGCGCATGGAGTCGCCGCTTTCGTGTATTCAACACCGGCCAATGCCGGTAACCACCGGTCCTTCCAGCGGTGTGGGTTGAAGCTATTGGCGTCCTGCCACCGGTGACGCACCCGCGACCGGTGCGACCCACGGTCGAAGGCCTTACGGCGACCGGTGCTGGTGGGGCGCCCTATGCTTGGACTGATAGAAGGTGAGTAGGGTTTGTGACCTATGTTTGTGACCTATGAATCCTAGGTGAGGGGGAAAAGCATTAAAGGTGTGCCTTGACCAGTTGGAAGGTCTAGGTGCACCTCATCTGGTAAGAGGATTTGGTGGATCCAGCGAGTGGGTATTTGGTGAAGAAACTTACCCGCCAATTCAACTCTCCAAAAATCACGTTCCACCCCAATTAAAATCAATAGCTTCTCATTACAGTAGTAGTCATTCCTCACCGCACTCAACAAACGCACCTGCTGACCATGCACCACCACCGCCGACCCTTCTTTTCGCTCCCAAAGCCCTAAACCCGCCGTGCGTCCCGTGGCCGGAGACGTCGAGACGTCGATCCTCGCCCCAAAGAGTCATCGAGCGTTGCAGCGACCAAGTGGAGATGAAGATGTCCTGCCCGTCGGGCGAAGTCGGTGGTCGGCGAAGTCATTCACGGCCGAGTCATCGACGCGATCCAGCGGCGAAGGCAGAAGCGGAGTCAAAGAAGAGTTTTGGGGGGGGGGTCAATATGTGTGAGTTGAGTTGTGTGACTATCATGAGGGATCGATATACATATATATATATTATATATATTATAATACATATAATATGTATACAGGATATATACAAGTTTCAGTTTAAGCTTAAAAGATTGTGAAACTAGTGAGCGGCACCTTTGCAATATAGAGATGCAGTTACAATATCTGATACAGTAAATATTTGGATACCAAGCAAGGGGCCGGATTCACTCATTGACTTATAATATAGATTCGCTCAATCCAGCAGATTGCCACGGCAAGCGGCAAGTGGTTGTTGGCCACGATCGCAACTGTTTGTCAGCGATCAACCGTGTCCGTAGCTAGGCAAACACCTGTCCTGCAGCCGGAAAAAAGACAAGTCAGGCTGTCAAAGATCAAATGTTCTATACAGATTCGCCCACAAAATCTCTGAACATATATCTGAACACTATGTTCTATACGTACTATACAGCAAATGATCCGCTCATCTCTGCGGGTCAACAAAATCATTAACTTCACCAGACCACTCATCCAAAGGGTCACTCACCAAACCCCCAATCAGAAATGCTGCACAAACATGCACAGACCCTACTCGCCGCAGGAGGGTCACATGACAGCCTCACCCAATGCCTCACTCCAAACGCTGCGCAGACCACTCATCGCCGCAGCAGGGTCACATCGACAGCTTGAGCGAAGCTATGAGCATCACCATCTACGTCCCATGCCTCCTCTCCTCCGTTGTCGCTCCCCTTTGGCTCCCTTGGTCACGAAAGCATCTTGCGTTGGTGATCCATCTCCACAAAACCAAGTGTCAATGCTCGTGTCCGGGTCAAATTTGATTTGATAAATGTAAACATCTGGTGGGGCAAATCCCGGGAACCCCCGGGCAGAAACCACCCTGGCCTCCCCACCTGCACACATCACCCGGCCGCCAACACCGAGGTGGCCGGCAGGGATGCTCTGCTCCCTGCCACCAAGACGGATCATCATCCTGTGATCATGTGTAATAATCAAGTTAGCCTTTGCCGTTTCCAACCAAACGCAAGTGCTTTCCACCCCCCCTTGCGGATGGCGGATAATTTGGGCCACGCTGACTCCACCTCCATTGTGAGCACGAAGCACATCACCTTGCTGCAATGTTTCCACTGCCCTCATGCGGCCACTAAGGTCTGGAAAAGATGTGCCTAACAGGTAGCATGCGCCTGGAATTGCTTCCGCTTCATCTGTGGAGACCGTGCTGGAGCTTAGTGTTTCATTGCTTTCATCCAAAGCTGCACTGGCGCAATCCGACGTGAAGTACTCCTCTGAGTCGTCGTCGGTGGGGAATTCAAAATATTCCTCACTTAAGTGGGTGGCTAGCTCGTCTTCACTATCAGTTTCTTGGTCATAGACCAAGCCTTCACAACGGCAAAGAGGACACTGATGTGAACATTCCTCACACAGAGCGAATCGGCTCCTCGGCACAGACTCGCATTGTCCAAGTCTTCCACGGCACTCAAACAAGAGTACCGTTTCCAAGCTGCAATTAAAGCACAACAACCAATCCATGGAGAGCTGCAGCACAACTAATGTATACTATTGAGCCAAGGCTACTGAGTAGTCTTATGGCATAAGGATGTTCTTCCTGCACAAGCTCCGCAGTTCCCTCCAGCTCTTGAACGATGAATGCGCAGTTAAAGGAAAACATAGTAAAACACAGAGCTAGTGCCTGGAGATACCGCAAGAGCATCTGAGGAGTCGTCAATAGACAATCCTGCACATCCTACACTGTTACAGTTTCACTGACAAACCTGAAAGTGGAAAAAGGCCCCTTCGAGCTTCCTGCTTTGCGAACGCGTGCGAACGGCTAACGCGGCGCTCCTGGCCCGGCAAGAAGCTCACGGTGTCTCCGATCACGTCTTTGCACAAAGGACCTCAGATCGAGTATGAACAACATACGGAGAAATGCATCATGAAGACTTGAGGCCAGGGAGAGGGAGCCGGAGGCTAGCCATCCAAAAAGGCAAGCACAACAGCACCCCAGCAGCAGACCAGCAGCAAACCAGCGGCAGCACCAAACCAGCGGCTGCACATCAGCAGCAGAACAGCGGCCGACCAGTAGCTGGCCAGCGGAAGACCAGCAGCAGAACATACATACTGTACTGTGGCCAAAGTCTACAAGGCATTGCAGCTTCAGATCCACACTAAGGGGTTTTCGTGGATACATAGGTGTCCTGAACCAGTTGTCCGAAAATCACCACTATATCAAAAGATGCGGAAAGATGCAAAAAGGACTTCTGACGGACACCTTTGCTTCAATACTCGTTCATGGGGTAGCGTTGATGACACCTGCATCATCTGAAGTCAGGAGGTCAAGTAATATAGTGCTCATGTTCACAACAGGATCTCCCATGTGTTCCCTCTGCGAGTTCAGCCCGCGAGGAGGGGGGGTAGCGTGAAAGATCAAACTTTTATGTGTTGAAACAAAACGAGGTGCAGGGTCTTGTATCGTTTTCTTTCTTTAACTTCACCTTCACCTCCAAGTCCTAGCAGGTTCGTTCGCATGGTCCTGAGCCGTGGAGTCCGTGGAGGAGTTTGACATCACGTCGAAGTAGTTCAAAACCGTCACCAAACCCAATGCTTGAAGTTACTTAATTAAGGAGGCCCTTGAACCAATGAAACCTGCTTAATCCCCAACAAAAATGGTCACCCGATCCGCAACACTTAAGTTCTTACGAGCAGTTTCCTTCATTCCTTCCTTCCGCCCATAGGTCCGGTCTCACCCGGCCTCTCCACCCAGCCGGTCGACCGGACCTATTGCCAGGATCCCCCAACCCACTGGCACGTCGTCGCCGCCCACGCAGCGGCGGATCAACAACGGTGGCTCCGGATAGAGCCTCCGCAAGGCTCCGCAGGCAACGATGCCAGGTGGTCGGCTGGAAGCTCAGTGGCGATTCTCAGCAGGTCTAGTGGTGGTACACGACCGGGCAGGCATCATCCCCTTCCCATCCATCAAGCCACCAAGGCCGTATAGGTCAGTCCATCGGCATACAGCTGTAGGTCGGGCGATGGGTGATGAGTACCCCAGCTGTGCACTAGACTGGAGATTTCTTGGTGTACCTTAGGTTTCGCCGCTGTATTGACCCGAAGCGAAGGAAGTACCAACACGGAACATACATCACGAAGCTAGGGACACGTTGTGACCCTGCCAGCCACGCTCAAAAAAGCAGTTCTTCCTTTGATTACTTTACTTCAACCCCCTTCGTCCAATTTCCATCAATTTCTTCAGCTTGACAATGATGAATGCACCGGTCACCCAGTCTCTGCTAGACTGGAACACTGAGCACTCCTGCCACTCCTGTGCTCCACCCACTAACTCGGCCCCACGGCCCCCCGCACGGCCTCAAGGTTTCCATCAGGGCAGCTCGCAGCCGTGGCAGCTGGCTCAGCTCCTCACTGCCGATGATCAACTCGATGCTCGGGTAAACTTCGAAACTGATGCGAACACTGGGAACACACTCCGAAACTGGAAAATGAACAGCTATACTACTAGGTTTCAGAGCAGATGGCATAAGGGCCCGCAAGATGTCTTTTACGTATGGTCCATAAAGACTTGGGGATTGTGCCGTCTACTTTGAAACCACTGTATACTGTATACTTCGCTGATCTTCGCTTCCAACTCATCAGATTGCTCCGCTCCATCTTCCCATCTTCTTCCCTCACCAAGTCCAAGTTGTTGGCTCTTGGGCATGTCTTTAGCTGCCCCCGCCCTTCCCGTTCCAAGGTTCCACGCGCACCCGGTCGACCTCGCCCCGCTGTCGGTTTGACCCCCTGCTGTCGGCCGCTCCTCGAAGGTGGGGTTGCGGCCTTCGAGGAAGTCCACCTGGCGCGGTCCATCTCGACACCGTCCACGGAAGGCGTGCCACCATGTGCGACTGGCCCAGTCCAACCAGTCTTGTACGAGTAGGAGGCGTGCCGGTTCATGGTTTTTAAGGCGTGCTGACTGCTTGGAGATATGTTCACTGTATTCATCATTCTAAGTTACTTTGGTCCAAACAAGCAAATACTGTAGGATGTTCAATAATTAGGGTATTTACACATTCCAGCACCCTCAAAGGGGTGCTAATTGGTTTCTGTTGGTGGCCTCTT